AATCAAAACCCGCCCGGTCCCTCCGGCGGAGGCTCGCCGCTCGGCGACGGCCAGGCACGCTCTTGGATGGGGCCACGTCGCTCCCTGCGGGAACGGCCTCCGCCGGAGGGGGAACGAGCGCCGAAACGCTTTCGCCGTTCCTTCCCCACATCGCCAGTGGGAACGGGCGATCAGCTGCCTGCCCCGCGACTAATTGTGCTAATTGCACCCGGCAAATAAACCGGCAGCCGTAGGGGAGATTTCAAAAACGGAATCAGGTCTATGAAAGCAGTCCTTCCGACGGTGTCATTTGTCTCAGGAAAATCTGGTATTTTCTCACAGCGACGCGCCTCCGTTTAATCACGCTAAAGGGTGACACAGAGATCCATTTTCTTGGCAGGACGGTTGATCACCCTATCACAGTCAGAAAATTAATAACCTCAAATAGCTCTGTGTGGAAAACAGAAGCTACGCCGGTGAAAGTACAAAAGCGCTCTACGTTTTTAGCGGTAAAAACAACATATTTCCTGTACTGCACCACAACCGAGAAATCTGTCATTTCCATCTATTTACTTAGCTGGGTTGTTGTTGGTTTTTTTTTTTTTTTGTTGGGGAGAAAATGAGCGTACTGCAACCTTTCAAAACGTAAGATCTTTCGAAAATTGCAGGTAGACAACTTGCACGGAGGAAAGCGCTAAACAGCTTGAGAGATTTCACAAAGCGACTGAGCGTATTTATAAACCATTTAAAATATAGGTAAAACATTTCAGAAGTTTAGACTGTTTAAAAGGCTGGCAGATATTGATTACTTCATTTAAAAAGCAGTCAGAGAGTGCAGCCACGAGGTCAGGATAAATTTAACAGTTTGAAGCACTTTACTAAATAACACTAAAGATCATGTTAATTGGCTTTGCACAGTTCTTGGGTAAAATTAATTTTATCCTAGCTTACAATAAAAGGATTAAAAGACAAATCAAGTTCTTCAGGTTTAACTGGAATAGGAATCAATGGATTTGAATTAAGGCTGAAGGCGGTTTTATGAGAGATGGACTACTATCAGATACTTTATATCTGCTATTAGGCACATATTGATGGTACTCTGTTACTGTATTAGGTATTAAAACCTTACAAAACTAGGTGCTAGACCAATTTATTACTATCAGCCTACACCATCAGAACGTATGTTGCTACCTGAGCAGGTTCCACCAAAAAAGCTTCCCAGATGCGCTCCATCATATTGCTGGAGTTAAGGAGAGCCACTGAACCAAAGTGTTATAAACTACAACGAATGACAACTAACTACAAAGTTGTAATTATGCCAGAGGTTGTAAACGCAAATGTAATCACTGACGTTTAGTCACAACAACTGATGTGCACAAAATCCTTTAAAGTGAAAAATGCCAGAAAGATCTTCCACAGCCCCATTTCCGTGCCATACGCTCTACTACTGGCCAGGGAATTCCAAGCTGATAACACAGATACCCACCGCCAGGCACGTCCCAACGGCGGGGCAGGCCTTCTTCGGGGCTTAGTGCATTAGAAAATAGAGAGAGAGAGATATAGAGAGATATATATAACATAGTATGAAAAGACAGGGGTGAAGAAATATGACTTTCACCTTAGAGGACAGAAACGCAAAGACCTAAATGAATAATGTTATTTGCCCAAGGTCACAAATGTATTTTGCATCAAATCAGGAAGAAAACCTAGACCTTGCATCCAAATCTGGTACTTTAAGGCTGTGAAGAAAACCAAAACACGCAAGTCCTCTTGATTTTCGTCACAGTTCACATTTCACTGAATATAGTAGCTGAGAGTCAGAAGTCACTATCTAAGGATGAGAACTTGCAAAACGAACTCCATGAAAAGCACCAAAACTTTTCCTTCCTGTTTGCCAGGTCCCTATCTCTGCATTTCTTCTGCTTATTTATAATGGTGGAGGGGGGTTGCAAGTGAGCAGGTGGGGGGAAGGATTTCTCTCTCTCTCACTCTATTTTTTTTCCAGTCCTGCTGAAAAAGTATAGTTAGCTAAACTCAGGAAATCCTCAGAGTCCTCGCATCAGATGCCAGAGACAAACATACACCAAAACGTGGTCATGGCAGATGTTACATTATTAGCAACAATCACTGCAACTGTTTAGATTTGAAACCATAAGAGCTTCTTTGTGAGACATGGATCGTTAGAAAAGGACGTGCAATAGCTATGAGGGGGAAACGTGATTTTGTTCACACTCACGTGAGCGCAGAATAAATTGCATGATATTTTCATGTCAGTAAATTTAAATATTTCTTAAATAACTGTTTCTTTGAACAGTATCATTTCCTCACCGAAAACAAATTTATATAATGCTACCTAAAAAAGGATATTGCAAAAAAATTTAAACATGCATCATATATGTAAAAATGTATCATATGTGTTAAAACGCATGCTATGTGTACTTATAAAAGATACTTCTTTTCTTCAGCTTTAATTGTTCAAGACTCTTAAAACGCAAAGCCATGCTACCGCTTTTCCTATATTTCTAGTTTTTCAAAAATCATATACAGAAAAATAATTTTAACAATTTCAGTGCTTCTGGAAGCTTATAAAGCAATAACATTTAAAATAAAATCAGAACTGAGAATTACTATAAAGAAATAACAACAAAGTGACTATGCGAAAAATACAGCAAGGCTGAGAAAGTAATCCACTTCATCTAACCCTATAAAAACTGTTGTTACTCATTACTAGGCTCACGTTATTTAAAATGTTGTGAGTGCTTGCAAGATCAGCTATTTCTATATAAACAGCTCCCTCCACCGGCTAAGCAGGGACAAGCCCTCCACAGAGCCACCGTATCAGGAGCTGAGAAGGGTGGAGGGCTATCCCGAAATGCAAAAAATTACAAGTGTGCATTATGACCCCTACTGGTCCCCAAGTACCCTGGCTGCATGGCAGGGCGCGCGTGTGCAACACCAAAAGGTGATTTGATACCACCAATACGGTTGAGTTCTTTAAAGCTTCCTCTTATATAATAATAATAATAATAATAATTTTAAAAAAAGATATTTAGTGACTACATAGCATCTCCTTGCAGTTTGGGTTAGTTTGCATTAAACACATTGCTGTGGCAGGAAGGTACTTAATTTTTCTAACCCCTCCCTCCCCCAAATCCACCCTGTTCCTTCCTAAAAAAGTGGGTTTTTTGCTAAATACAGTGCATGGTAATGCAAACATTCTTAAAATACTATTTGTTCTTAGTACTAGGACCTAAATGCAATACACAAGACAAAATTTGGTCCGATAAGAGGAAAAAGTCTGTAT